GGTAAGTTGCGGTGATCGAGCAGGCAAATCTTTTATTAGATTGAATATTGTCGATGTGGTAGTAATAGCCTCATCTATTGTATCGATAGCAGCATTGATTTCAGGATCATTATGGGATGGGGTGTTTGATGTGTCGTCAATAGTTCGACCTGTGAATAAACACAGCAGTCTAGAAGAAATCATAAATACTCTAATACTCTTACATCCATTCAAGGTATCGATAAAATTATTTGGTAATTGTTCTTCATCTTCAATTCCATCTTTACTCAATACACTCCATATTTCGAAATCAGATCTTGGTTTTTGACCGAAAACAACTTCATAGGGCGATTTGTCAATTGTTTGTACGATACTGGTATTAATCGCATAGACTACTGGTGCTAATCTTGTGAGACAGAATTTTAAGTGACAAAAGCGGGAGGACGATGGATTTTTATATCTTGGTACTTCTTGACGATTCAAACATCTATGTATAAGATCTAAATATAAATGTTTATTTTTTCTCTTGTTAAACCTACTGTGTTTGTTTTTATATTAAAAGAGTTTCCAAGACCGTAAAAAACCGACTGGATTAGCAAGATTGTAGACCAGCGATTTCGATTTTCTATAGATGAATCCCAACATTCGTATATCTTTTTCTGTACCTTTATCTGTATCGAAGAAACAGTACAGCGTTTTCAAACTGTGGGTATCTGTATGTGTAGGGGGTGTCAGTCAATGATACCCTCTACCCCATCCTTCAGCCTCACTTCTGCAAGCAGTAAGGAGCGTATTTTTCGCCTTCATGTCTCTCTCTCGCTATAATCCAGTTGAACCGAAAAAATAGATAATTTTGTTTCAACAGTATTCACAAAATTCTGAAAGTGTCAAACGATTCCTCTCGAAGAGCTGGTCCGGGAAAAATTACTTCAGTTATATCAGACATATACGTTACTGACTTGGGACATACGGGATAAAGTTTCACAGCACACCTATTACTACTACCACATATAGCGTCACAACGCCGAAACAGTTGTAGTGCCATAAATTTATATCGTTATAATGTGTTACATGTTACAGTTGTATAATACACGAACCTAGAATGCGTTGCAACGCGTTACAGATTAATGCTGCATAATGCGATAGGAATTTCCTAAATACTCCAAATATTTAACAGAATTTGACATTTGGGAAATCAGGCAATTATTTGGCAAATCATTTGACAAATTTCTCCCAAAATTTGGTCGAACAGCAGAAGTTGGCAGGGAAAATTTGGCATCGGACAAATATGCGAAAAATTTTTTTCGCAAATCTTTGACAAATTTGGCAAATGCCAGATCTAATCATTTTCAACCTGTCCCACATCATCTTGATTATATTGCTGCATTGACGTCTTTATATTTACGATTGCATTGAAACGATTCCAGAGTATAAATGCGTAATTGAGCCATGCCCGCGATGCTATTTCGTTGTATTGATGAGAGTTCAAAAAGCGCAAAAATTGTACCAAAAAGATATACGAATGTTGGGATTCATATATAGAAAATCAAAATCGTATCTAAAATCTTGCTGTCTTGACTGAACCGGCTGCTACACGAATCCTAGTCACACAGAAGTAGTCTTCGAAAAATGGAATCAACTTTTCATGGAACTTTTATAGCGCTATATACTGAAGAGAGAGACTGATGATTCATTCTCCAAAGAATCCAGTAGAGTTGAATGCAATGTGCTTTTACATTGTCTTAAACTTTCCAAGATGGTTCGTCGCCGCAGCCGACTGTGCAAGAACTAGTTAAAATTAAGAAAGAGCGGAGAAAATCTATTTTATCCAATTTTTAGATCTTTCACCCAGTGGGCCAGAAACGATATATCCAACTGATCTAAAGTTTTAACTCGGGCTCTAGAGTTTAGGAATTTTAGCCCCGAATTTTAGCGAAAATTTAGCAAATTTTCGCAAAAAGTTGGCATATTTTGTAAACCACGCCACTTTATATATCATTCGAGAGAGAACTTCGCGGGCTTCAAAATGACATATATAATATTGAGAGCAAATGGGGCGTGGGTGCCGTAACACAAGAAATACTAGCCCCCACCTACACAAATCCTTAGGTCAGCAGCGTTTATCGCTTATATTGTCCAACCAGTTGATCGTTAACCACGCCACTTTATATATCATTCGAGAGAGAATTTTACGGGCTTCAAAATGCGTATTAATGAGTCTT